TACTGGAGTGTGATGTTTGGCTATTTATATGAACTCAGTAAATAGACCATTAACTTAATTTTCTGAGTTCATGTATTTATTAGCATGTGTGGGGGTCAGCTTTCTGATTCAGAAAATTGAGGAAACAAGTAGGGGGTCATCCATTTTGGATCGGGTTTTGATCAACAGGGATGAATTACTTGTGAATGTGAAGGTGATTGGGAATTTGGGAGGAAGTGATCATGATCTGATAAAATTCAAGCTCTCATGGAAATAGGGTGACCAGACAGCAAGTGTGAAAAATCCGGACAGGAGTGGGGGATAATAGGAGCCTATATAAGAGAGAGACCCAAAAATCGGGACTGTCCCTATAAAATCAGGACACCTGGTCACCCTACATGGAAAGGAGGGTGTGAGAACAGCAAAAACAAGGACACTTGACTTCAGAAAGGCAGATTTCAACTCAGAGAAATAGTATGCAAGTTCCCATGGAAAGACCAATTAGAAAGAAAAGGAGTCGAAGGGGTCTGGCATTTCTTAAAAGAGAATTCTAGAGGCCCAACATCAAGCTATGCAGAGGAAAGATAAGAAGAGCCACTGGGGGCCAGTGTGGGTGCACAAGGAGCTTTTGAGCTCTCTAAAAACCAAAAGGGATACAAAATAGGAGGGGCATGTCACCAAGGAAGTCTACATGGGAATAGTGCGAGCATGCAGGGACAAAATCAGGAAAGCTAAGGCAACAAATGAGTTACAGCTGGCAAGAAATGTTCAAGACAACAGGATGGGGTTCTTCAAATGTCAGACAAAAAAAGAAAGATCAATTTGATGGTGTGGGTCCGCTGCTCAATGGAGAAGGTCAATTGGCAATGGAAGATGATAGGAAGGCAGAGCTCCTCTATACCAACTTTTGCTTCAGTCTTGTCACAAAAAATAACATGTGACCGGGCAACTAATGAAGTTGCCATAGACAATAAAGGGGAAGGGATACAAATTGGGATAAGTAAAGAACATGTCAGAGATCTTCTGACTAATCTGAATGAATTCAAATCAATGGGCCCGGATGCTTTTCATCCGATTAAAAACGTAATTAACTTTTTTTGTTCTACAAATAAAAGTACACAACTCATTTTAATATCAGTAGTCTTGCCTTTCTAATGCGATGGATGTGCCCTCTCTCCCCTGCTACGACAGCCCCCGAGCTGGAACTGTGAAGGAGGGGGGTCTCTCCCCTACCACAGCAGCCATAAAGCTGAGGCTGGGAAGGAGGGCTGTCTCTCCCCGGCAGCCACAGCTCTGGAGCTGGGGAAAGTCGCTTCTTTCTCTGGCCGCCGCTGCCCTGCACGTCCCAAATTCCCCCCACCTCTTCTTCTCACCCCACTGTCCCCTCCCATCTACTCCCTATTCCCCCCAAGGCCACCACCTCACCTTACATGTGCGTCTTCTCCAGGGTCCAGGCACCTAATTAGTGGAGCCACACCTGTGCGGCTCCACTAGTTAGGTGGGTGGCCCTTCATTCTCTTGTGTGAGGCCGCCCAGGTGCGCACCTTAGAGGGAACTATCTGCGGACCACCTGAATGTCCGCGGACCACAGTTTGAGAACCTCTGATTTAGACCAACCATGACGGGTGTTTATTTAACCAGCTCTTAAAAATCTCCAATGATGGAGATTTCACAGCCTCCCTAGGCAATTTATTCCAGTGCTTAACCACCCTGGCAGTTAGGAAGTTTTTCCTAATGTCCAACCTAAACCTCCCTTGCTGCAATTTAAGCCCATTGCTTCTTGTCTTATCCTCAGAGGTTAAGAAGAACAATTTTTCTCCCTCCTCCTTGTAACAACCTTTTACATACTTGAAAACTGTTATCATGTCCCCCCCTCAGTCTTCTCTTTTCCAGACTAAACAAACCCAATTTTTTCAATCTTCCCTCATAGGTCATGTTTTCTAGACCTTTAATCATTTTTGTTGCTCTTCTCTGGATTCTCTCCAATTTGTCCACATCCTTCCTGAAATGTGGTGCCCAGAACTGGACACAGTACTCCAGTTGAGGCCTAATCAACGCGGTGTAAAGCGGAAGAATTACTTCGTGTCTTGCTTCCAACACTCCTACTAATACATCCCAGAATGATGTTTGCTTTTTTTGCAACAGCGTTACACTGTTGACTCATTTTAGCTTGTGGTCCACTGTGACCCTCAGATCCCTTTCTGCAGCACTCCCTCCTAGGCAGTTATTTCCCATTTTGTATGTGTGCAACTGATTGTTCCTTTCTAAGTGGAGTACTTTGCATTTGTCCTTATTGAATTTCATCCTATCTACTTCAGACCATTTCTCCAGGATGTCCAGACCATTTTGAATTTTAATCTTATCCTCCAAAGCACTTGCAACCCCTCCCAGCTTGGTATCATCTGCAAATTTTAAGTGTACTCTCTAGCCCATTATCTAAATCATTGATGAAGATATTGAACAGAACTGGACCCAGAACTGATCCCTGCGGGATTCCACTCGTTATGTCCTTCCAGCATGACTGTGAACCACAGATAACTATTCTGTGGGAACGGTTTTCCAACCAGTTTTGCACCCACCTTATAGTAGCTCCATCTAGGTTGCATTTCCCTAGTTTGTTTATGAGAAGGTCATGTGAGACAGTATCAAAAGCTTTACTGTTTAACAAGTCTTGAAATCATGTGCCAGCCTGCGTTAATGCATAGTCTCATTGCTGCTTTCCTTATCTTCCCTTGCTAAACCTATATTTTTGGTTTATCCACTGTTGCATCCTAAATTAGATTGTGAGCTCTTTAGGACAGGGATTGTCCTACTCAATTTGTACAGCAGCTACAACGGTGGTGCTCTAATCCCAGTTGGAAGGTTTAGGTTCTATGTAATGCAAATACTAACAACATATGATACTATGGTAATCACAGAGTGCAGTAAACTGAGCTGTCCCCAATTTTTGCCTGATAGGCTAGTAGCTTTCCTGCTGTTTCACAAGCGCCACCAAAACCATATCATACAAGCTGGTCAGAATGAGGTGCTGGGCAAAAATCAAATTTGCTTCAGATCCAGAATAAATGCTCTGGTCAGTCAGTTTGCACAGAGATTTATTTTTCAAGATTTGCCAGGGATTTTAAGGTAAAAAGCAATGACTCCTAGAGGTGCTTTAAGACCCACTAAGTGTGGACATAATTTGTCAAACTAAACCAACTCTCTCATTAAAGTTTTAGCAAACTAAACAAATTCAAAGGCAGGATCTGTAACAAAGAACAGTACCCAAACATGAAGCCTCATGGGGTGCTTCAGCAGGCCCAATAGGCTTCTGCTTCTGAGGCAGAATGACGCATGCACGTTTTATGCTTTTTTTCTCATAAGATTTAATTCCTGCTGTAAGTGCAAATATGAATGCAGCCTTAACTTCGGAGCTACTAATGATGCCTCCATAATTTAATCATTTACTGAATGTTGGCATGTTGGGTTGATATTCGGGTTGGATAGATTGATGGTTTATGATTTTAGGGAAGGTAGCTTAGGGGTTTGTGGTGATTGGGGTGACTGGGGGTTTTGGAGTTTGGGTTGTGGCGGGATAGTAAATTTGATGGTTTTGCTACTTAGGTAACAACCTTCATAGTCATACCATCAGCTTCCTTTGGCACAAATACTTTAACAGTTGTGGCGAATACCCCTAAGAACAATGTTCTTAGGTGTTTTTAAATATATTACTTCTAAGGGTATGTCTGCACTGGCAAACTTACAGCACGGCCGCGGCAGCACTGTGACATGGCAGCGTAGACGCGCTTTATCGCCGGGGAAGAGCTCTCCCGGCAATATATTAAAAAACAAAATAAACAAACAAAAAAAAAGAACGAGCAGTGGTAGCTTTATCGCCAGCAGCGCGTCTCCCAGCGATAAAGCGCTGTCTACACTGGCGCTTTTCAGGACTAAAACTTTTGTCATTCAGGGAGGTGTTTTTTCATACCCCTGAAGGACTAGAGTTTTAGCGCTGAAAGTGGTAATGTAGACACAGCCTAAGACTTTGTACTTTGTGTGCACCTAAACTGTTAAAACCAAGCTATTTGTTAGCTACAGGGGTAGGAAGCAAACATTACATTGCAGTCATGTTTCAGGTAGTACTTTTTAATTACTAAACAGGTATTCCAGAAAATGAAATCTGTAATTTAGCAGGTGGGAGGGGAGTGCTTCTTCACTATATTTAGCCACTGGGAATTTATTCCCAGCTATAACTGCAAATCTAAATTTTACCTTTACTGTGTAACATTAACATTTGTAAAATTTGAAGCATTACTGAGTGCAGAGCCAATGAAGTAATATATTGTAAATATTTTTATTTTGGAGATTGGTTCAGAATAATTAAGTATTCAAAACAATGCAACTGGCACTTAAGGTAGTTTAACTTCAGACAACACTAAAGGAAACTTACTTTCGGTGAAAGCCAAACTCTTTAGGCAAATTGATTAAATTAAGCTTCAAGATTGCTAAATTTTCCTAAAAAGGTGAAACTATTTAAATATAGTGCCTGTACCTTAACAATTATTTTGATATTTGCATTATGGTAGCTCACATTGCATTAAGCATTGTACACACACACAGACTGTTCCAGCCTAAGAGTTTAGTCTGCAAGCAATAGATGAAGGGAGGGGGAGAGAAAAATATGCAATGTTTATTTAAAAATATATATATATGCATAGCTGCGTCACAGCCCACTCATTATCAAACAATATCTTGTAGACATTGCAGTAGAACTAAGTCAGCATCAAATGTTGCATATTGCAAAATGTGTTCACTTAAGTACTGTGGGTTAGATTTGGCACAAATTGGTATAGTTTCTTTGACTTCAATCTGTGAGCTATGCTGATTTATGCCGCATAAAATTCTGGCTCTCTCTTAGTTTTTAGGTCTGTGGTGTCATGCTCCTGAAATTCTTTTAACTGTAAGTTAACTTCTGTGGAAATAAAGCATGGACTCCTGGGGGAAAGTGTGTAAGGTTTAAATCAATTTTCTGTTCAATGTAGGTTCAGGTGCAAGTCCATCCTAAACTTTCCTCAGCTGAAGATGCTTTACAATATGTTGAGGAGTTAATTCTGCAGTTGCTGAATATGCTGTGCCAAGCCCAGCCGAGAAGCTTTCTGGATGTAGAGGTACAGAGAATGTTTATCTGTTCTGTATTTTGGAGCTTTAATTTGGGATGCTATGGATGAATAGTTTAATTAATTAGCACTTTAAAATGTCATGAGAAATACATGTATGCAGTGTTGTTGTAGCACTGTTGGTCCCAGGATATTAGAGAGACATGGTGGGTGAGGCAGTATCTTTTATTGGACCAACTTCTGTTAATATGAGAGAGAAGTTTACATGCTTACAAGTGTCTCTCTAATGAAGAATACAGTAGAACCTCAGAGTTACAAACACCTCAGGAATGAAGGTTGTTCGTAACTCTGAAATGTTCCATAACATTTTGTTCAGAGTTATGATCTTTCAAAATTTTACAACTGAACATTGACTTAATACAGTTTTGAAACTTTACTATGCAGAAAAAAATGCAGCCTTTAACTATCTTAATTGAAATGAAACAAGCACAGAAACAGTTTCCTTACCTTATCAAATCTTTTTTATTAAACTTTCCCTTTGTTTTTAGTAGTTTAACACAGTACTGTGCGCTATTTACTTTTTTTTTTTGTCGTCTCTGCTGCCTGATTGTGTACATCTGGTTCCAAATGAGATGTGTGATAGGCTGGTCAGGTTGTAACTCTGGTGTTCATAACTCTGAGATTCTACTGTGCATGGCATTATGGAAGTGAAGTGCATGGGAGAAATATGGTACTTATGTGTCTGTCTGTCAGTGGTAGACCAAAAGCTGGTTTTATGTCCCAGTTCCTTCCTAACATATCTAATATTTTAATATCTAGTGTCAGTTTTGTGTGCCAGAGTAATACTGTATGTTGTATAGTGTGTATGTATGAATAAAATGTGTACACACTGTACAAAATATAGTACATATTATCACCAGTCTGGAGATAACTACACTTCAGACCCTGTCATGGCCTGCTTGATAGCATCCCACTTGAGTCTCAGTCCTCTCACTGTCAACTTTCTCCGGGTTGTGTCTTGTGACTCTCTCCCTTTAGATCTGGGCCTTATACTGCAGAACCCTGCATTTTACTTTGACTATCTCAGCAGGATTGACTTTAGTTCAGCACCTGCAGTCCTGCTTTCTGAGGGGCAATCACAGAGTTAACCAGTGGCTATTTATTCAGAACAAATGCATTATTGAAAAAACATATCTTAAAAACAATAAACAACTTTTCTCCAGGGGTTGGCTTACTAGGCAGTCATCCATCTTCAACAGACCCTGGTAAGCTTAAAGTAGTTCAGGCAATTTCTGCAGGACCTCTCTCTCTCTCAATCCAAGAATTGACGTGAAACTCTAACCAAGAGAGAGTGTCCCTTTTTCCAGATCAGGACTGTCATAATCTTTATACCATTTCCAGTTCTTTGTCTTCCATGACTCTTGAACTGGGTCAGACTAGCGTATGCTATTTCCCTAATGGGTGAAGCTTCCTCAGACTTGTTACCTACATTAGGGATTTGTATTAATTCCCCCCCCCCCCCCACTGACTTTATTTCCCTGTTGGAATCATTGTTGAGTTCACCCATTGAGCCATGAATACCATCACTAGCCCTCCCAGGAAGATATCACATGACATTTATAAAGCTGATACAGAGTAGCCTTTGACAGGTTTCAGAGCGGTAGCCGTGTTAGTCTGCATCAGCAAAAACAACAAGGAGTCCTTGTGGCGCTTTAGAGACTAACAAATTTATATGGGCATATGCTTTTGTGGGCTAAAACCCACTTCATTAGATGCTTGGAGTGGAAAATACAGAGGCAGGTATAATAAATACATAACACATGAAAAGATGAGAGTTGCCTTACCAAGTGGGGGATCAGTGCTGACAAGCCAATTCAATTAAGGTGGAAGTGGGCCCTTCTCAACAGTTGACAAGAAGGGGTGAATAGTCCCTATGTGCAACCATTAAAGGGCGATCACCTCAGGAATCCTGAGTTCTATTCCAGGTTCTGATTCTGAACATTCCTCTGTTGTCACCAAATAGCTGAGAGCTCCACTGGCAAAAATGTGTCTCATCTCTCCCTTGAGTGGCTGGCCTACATAGAGATTGACTTCTGCTGCTTGCAGTCTCTTCGCTCAAGTGGCAAAAGTCTGTGGTGTAGATCTAACCTTATTGAACCCTGTTGGAGTTGATATAGTTTGACATGAAGAAATTTCTGATTTTTAGTTTGCTTTTTTAAAAACCTAGAAAATTATACATAGAAAACCTATGTTAATAGGACATTAAGGTTGCAAAGTCAACCACTCAACAATTCGGAAACACCAGACTTAAGCTTGCCCATGAATCTTAATTTGGCTCCCTAGTTGTGTGTGTGTGTGTGTGTGTGTGTGTAATTATGGTCTTTAATTACATGATGACAGACTATTTTTTTCCACAGGACCACTGTCTTACTCAGTGCACAGGATGGACTGTGCTCACAGAAAGAACAGCTACTCAGTATTTTATTTTAACCTTTTATTATGCAATGTGTAGCTCCATGTCTTAGTCACTGCACACTATTCAAACCCTGCTTTGAAGACAGAATTATTAATTTCCTTGAGGTCTTTTCTATGGCACTCATCACTGTAGCATCTGAGGGCTTCACATACATTAATAAACTTAACTTCACAACACACCTGTGAGTGTTTCCTAATTGAGTGCTTAACTTTGCAACCTTAATGTTCTTTGAGTGTAGTTTTTTGTATGCAACATATATTTAGTGTACAACATTTAGGGTATGTATTGCTGTACAGTTTTTGGTATAACTTTAGTTTCTATCTGTACATTAAAACACGGTTGCATCAAAATAAATTATTCCTTTTAAGGAATTGCTTTTAATCTGTAACAGTGAAGTCTCTATCTAAACAACTATACTACTTGCTGAATACATTCAGATTATTCACTGAGCCCTTAGTGCTTGTTTTCTGTCTCCTAAGGATCGTGTTCAAAAAAGTTTTCCCCATCCTATTGATAAGTGGGCAATAGCTGATGCCCAGTCTGCTATTGAAAAGAGGAAACGAAGAAATCCATTATCTCTCCCAGTAGAAAAAATCCATCCTTTGTTAAAAGTAAGTATTGAAATCATAATTGATTACCTTGCTACTTAAAATTAGGCAAACCTATCTTTTACAGAACTATATAATGTTAAAGTTGACATTTTCATTCATTGTCTGTATATTGCCTGAAATGTAACTCAAAAGGAATAAAACAAATCTTACACTAAAATCCAGATACTTTATATGTCATGTATCATCATCATTGTAATATTTCTATTTCAGTTAATTGTATGCTTGTTAAATACATTTAGGACTATGATTATACTTCCCAGAAGCTTAAGTTCTTCGAGTGATTCTACATGTGTATTCCACCGGAAATTTTCCCCTCAATGATACCCATCTGGGCGGCTCAAACCACTGGCACCAGTATAAAGGGCCTAGCCAACCCCGAGTTCCCTTAGTTCCTCCTTATAGACTCATAGACTTTAAAGGTCAGAAGGGACCATTATGGTAATCTAGTCTGACCTCCCGCATGATGCAGGCCACAAAAGCTGACCCACCCACTTTCCCTTAACTCAGCTGTTGAAGTCTCCAGATCATGATTTAAAGACTTCAAGTCGCAGAGAATCCTCCAGCTTGCGACCCCTGCCCAATGCTGCGGAGGAAGGCGAAAAACCTCCAAGGCCTCTGCCAATCTACCCTGGAGGAAAATTCCTTCCCGACCCCAAATATGGCGATCAGTAGAACCCCGAGCATACAGGCAAGATTCTCTAGCCAGACCCACATTTTACCAGCGATGGCACTTTATTACCTAATTGACTAAAATCACATTCCCTCCATAAACTTATCTAGCCTAATCTTGAAGCCAAAGAGGTCTTTCGCCCCCACCGTTTCCCTCGGAAGGCTGTTCCAAAATTTCACCCCTCTGACGCTTAGAAACCTTCGTCTAATTTCAAGCCTAAACTTCCCCACGGCCAGTTTATATCCATTCGTTCTCGTGTCCACATTAGTACTGAGCTGAAATAATTCCTCTCCCTCCCTGGTATTTATCCCTTTGATGTATTTAAAGAGAGCAATCATATCCCCCCTCAGCCTTCTTTTGGTTAGGCTAAACAAACCGAGCTCCTCGAGTCTCCTTTCATAGGAAAGGTATTCCATTCCTCGGATCATCCTAGTGGCCCTTCTCTGTACCCGTTCCAGTTTGAATTCATCCTTTTTAAACATAGGAGACCAGAACTGCACACAGTACTCCAAATGAGGTCTCACCAGCGCCTTGTATAACGAAAGGAGCCCCTCCTTGCCCCTACTAGAAATACCTCTCCTAATGCATCCCAAGATCGCATTAGCTTTTTTAACAGTCGCGTCACATTGCCGGCTCATAGTCATCCTGCGATCAACCAGGACTCCGAGGTCCTTCTCCTCCTCCGTCACTTCTAACCGATGCGTCCCAGCTTATAACTAAAATTCTTGTTAGTCAAGAATTTATCTTACCTTCTGTGACAGTCGCTGGAATGGCTCTTCTTGCTTTTGCAAGTACTCACAAGAGAACACAGACTACTGAATTTTATTGTAAATAGTTTAGTGTTTTGTTCACTTAGGATTTTACCCCATCTGACGGTTTCAGTTAATTCCCGATGCCAAGGAATGCCTCAGTCACCAGGCTTCAAGCCCTGTGTTTCCTGAAATAAGGCTATTCCCGTGAGCGACCCACACTCAAGTTAATTTAAGTGCCTCGGGGAAGCTCTTATTGGGGAGCGTTGCCAAATTTGCAGGGACTTTAAGCCTCGCACAAAGAAAGTGTGAAGCCAGGCTAAATTTTTTACCATGGTTTTCCTAATTGTATTTATACCCCATCCAATTTTCTGTTCGTGACTATAGTGGCCAGAATTAAAGATCTTTCAGTCTCTTCACAAAGAATTTCATCTTAGATAACTGTGAGCATCTGTGCTTGTTATCCTCTGACTGGTGTTTCACCACCGGGCAAACTTCACAAGAACTCAGGCATCCTCAGTGGCATTCCTAGCGCAGATCCCCATGCTGGACATTTGTAAAGCAGCAACCTAGTCATCGGTGCACACTTTCTCCTCCCATTACACCATCACCCGGTAGTTTAGAAATTATGCCAAATTTGGGTGAGATGTACTGCAGTCTATGGGTATATAAACTCTGATCCCTCCACCTATTTAACTGCTTGACACTCACCAAGAATGAAATGCACATGGGCAGTCACTCAAAGGAAAAAAGACCGTTATTAACTTTTTTGTAACTCTTGTTCTATGAGATGTGTTGCACATGTCCATTCTACAACTTGCCCTCCTACCTCTCTACATCGGATTTTCTGCATAGAAGGAACTGAGGGGGCTGAGGGTCAGCTGGGGCCCTTTACTGGCGCCAGCAGAGTGTGCTCAAGCCCCACCAAATGAGTACCACTGAGGGGAAAATGTCTGGTGTTCTGCCTGGGGTGCACGCACATCAAGAGAGGAATGTACATGTGCAACACATCTTGAAAGGTTAGTAACAGTTTTTGAAAAAAAGAAAACCCTAAATACTTGTCTGCCAAAAATTGCAATAGTTTTATTCCAGCTGAGTAATAAAGAGAATTCAGTGCTTTTAGATTGTCAATTAGAACTGTACTGCATGTTGTGACAACTCTACCAAGCATTTAACATTTCAAAGTCAGTATGAACCATGCAGTGTTACCTGTGATATCACTGTTATTCCTGTTATACATAGAGAGAGATGTATTTTAGTATTGCCAGTACTAATGGTGGATAGATGTTGACTGTCTAATGACTATTGCACTAAACATATGATTTCATAGGTTTATTCTAAAATACATAAATTAGTTATTTGACTGGTTGTATAACACATTTAATGATGCACTTTTTTTTTTTTTACTTTTAGGAAGTTTTAGGTTATAAAATTGACCACCAAGTATCTGTTTACATAGTAGCAGTATTAGAATACATTTCTGCAGATATCTTAAAGCTGGTTGGGAATTACGTACGAAATATAAGACATTATGAAATTACAAAACAAGACATTAAAGTGGCAATGTGTGCTGATAAGGTAGGTGGCATAGTTCATAAGTGTCAAAGGAATGGAATTTTTTTTTTTTTGGGCATTATAACCAGATCTTGAATAGTGTCTCAAAATCTCCATGTTGAATATTAGTCTTAGTTCTTAAATGTATGGTAATGTAGAATTTTGATATGCATCTTCCTTTAGAAACCCCCCAGCAGTACATGAACTTCTAAAATTATTGCTATTTTGAGACTAACAGTGACTTCAATGTAGAACATTCCTAGGGGTTGATGGTGCAGAGTTTTATTTGGGACACTTCATGCAACCTCAGCATTCCCCAGTGCTCCAGAACACTGTCTTTCTGACTGTGGTCGATGAGCCAAATTCCTTTGGCTTGTTCTCAAGCGTTGCTGCATTCTAGCTGCCTTGGACACCTAGTCTCAATCTTTTGACACATTAGAGGCAAACAATCTGTATTTTTTCCCTTTCAAAAAAACAAAACAAAACAAAAAACCCCACACAACTTGGAATCAGTCCCTCAAGAAAGGTCAGAGCGTCTAGTTTCATTGAAATCCATGGAACCTTTTCTTGTGTCCCCTTCTCACTGTTTGCCCTGTCTGTTATTGGCATTACTTGTGTTAATCAGCTCATTGGGGGTTTTTGTTTCTTGTTGCTCCAGTGAATAGTCCCCTGTCTTGCTTCAGCCTTGTATTGACTGCGCCCTCTTCGCTTTCCTTTAAGGCTAAGGAAGAAAGATTGGGGGGGGGGAAGTACCTTGTGAGACCTTACTGACCGTTAAGACACTTAGGGCATGTCTATACTACAAGCTTAAGTTGACCTATGTTAGGTTGAGTTACAACCACTGCAGTAAGTCCCCGGGGGGACAGCCAGGCTCTAGCTGGAGCCCCCCCACCCTACCTGGAGTGACAGCCCAAGCTGTGAACGCTTTCTTGTCAATTTCACAGCTCCAGCATGGAGCCCTGACATTGATAAGAATGACAGCCAATGTAAGTAACCTGCAGTGTTTACACAGACATTGCTTCGCCCTAACTACACCAACATAAGCCCTATGCCTCTCATGGGGGTGGAGTTATTATCTCGGGGTAGTAGAGCACTTACGTCGGGACAAGGCTGTAGTGTGTACACTGACATAATTAGGTCGACATACGCTGTTTTATGTTGACCTTATTCTGGAGTGTAGACCAGAGCTTAGTAGTATAGGGCAGCTGTCTCCATCACTGCTGCTTGTAGATACACATGTCTGTATGTGGATATTCAGCAGAAGTTTGGGTACTTGCCATATGATTGTGGTAATGATGCTGATTCCTTCGGTTCTTTCTCCTAATCTTCTGCCTCTTTCAGCTGTTGGTGGGACTAGCAAAATGCATTGGCCAAGAAACCGGCCTTAACAGGGTTTGGATGTAAGGGGGCCTCGTACACTACAGTCACACTTCTGAAGAGTTGCAACAACCCCATGCATAAACAGCAGAAACCTCCCAGGTTTCTTAAAGGCTCTGAAGCAAACATCCAACCTGCTGGTATTTGCTCTGAAGGAACAACCTGCTAGAGGGAGACTTCTGTGGCTCTGCCTTACTCACCACATCAAACGCAGACATGGCCCATACAGTGTTTCCAGACTTAGCCCAGCCTTATCAGTTAACTCTGAGACGTTATAAAGCTGTCAACACTTGCCTATGCTCTGTCATAGGTATGCATTAGTCCAGTATTCCCTCAATACCTTCACACGCCTTGTAGGCTGTCCCTTTATGTAATGTAATCCTTACCTTCTGTCCATAAGCATCTTAAGTATGATCAGTCTCAAATAATATAAGCTATATTTCCTTCTTTTTGCTTCCTCCCTACCCCATATGGAGGACAGACAAATTAACCAAATTGCATATTTCCAAGCATTTGTCCACGTGGATCCCACTTGTAGGTGTGTGCGCCTCATGTGCATGAACCTGGCGCCCTTCTTCCATATGGGATATAAAGTGTAAAACAGCCAAAACTGCCAGTCAGTTCTTTCTTGTAGCTCTGAGTTAGAATTAGGATGGTACATAGTTAGTTTTTTTGAATTGCTTTTTCTTAATTCAATTTCCTTTTTACCAAATATATTTAACCAACCTCAAGACAACATACAAAGCCTCCCATTAATAGTATTCAACTAGATCTTTTATAACAACTTATTTCCCCTCTCGCTGGTAACTTTTGTATCTAATTTTTGTGTATATTTAAGGAAACCACTAACTTTCTCCAATTTCATTTACACAGGTGTTGATGGATATGTTCCATCAAGATGTAGAAGATATAAGTGCACTAACTTTATCTGATGAGGAACCCTCCACCTCAGGAGAACAAACCTATTATGATCTAGTCAAGTCATTTATGGCAGAGGTTCGACAGTACATAAGGGAACTAAATCTCATTATAAAAGTTTTTAGAGAGCCTTTTGTCTCCAACTCCAAATTGTTTTCAGCTCATGTAAGTATTATATAGATGTTACAACTGATGCATATCAAACTTACGTTTGCATTAATATAGGTGAGAATTTCTGGGACCTAACTTTTGTCCAGTGTAACATTCCTGTAGTATAGGAAGAACTATCAGAAAGCCATCTGTTTCTCAACACTTGTTTCTCCAGCCCAGAACTGTTGGTGAACAAACAAAATACAGTAACAGATGTTCTTATTTTGATGCTGCCGCTCACCTACAAAGGTAGCTCTGAAAGAACAGGCTGAGAAAAGGGGTGTGTGCATGCACACATGGTGTAAGGATTGAAATGTAGATAAGAAAGGAGAGGCAGCATGGGAACGTATTATAGCTCATCCTGAAATAAATGATGAGGGATTAGGAGGATGTTTTCCTCCCTCCCAGCCCAGAAGTCTAGAACCCAGAATATAGAATTGTAGAGCAGGGTGGGCTGAGTGTCCTATACCATGCCGCATTATATTCCCCTTGCACTTCTCTGGCATCCTAGAAAGCCAATTTAGTGCATTGGGAACTATTGTACTGACATTATGGGGGTTGAAGGAAGTTTCTCTTGTACCATTTCTCAACCCACTTGTACAGCTATAGACTGCATTTTAAAAAGCAAAAACAACAACATTGAAATGCATATTAAGACCTATCACTATGTAGGTGCTGAAGTGCCTTGAAAATATAAACAGGGGCAGTATTGTGGAGATATTCAAGGACTTAAAATTGGGACCCCTGGGTCACTTACTCTGCCACTGGGTTGTGTGACATTCTGCAAGTAACTTAACCTTTGTTCCTCAGGTTCCTTTTATATTTATATATATTTTTTAATTGTGTGGGAAAGAATAAAAATATTTATTGATCTTTGTAAGTAGAAGGGGAAAGTGTTTCTTTGTAAAACACTTAAGAGCCTCTTATGAAAGATTCTACATAAATGCAAAGATTTAAGACCATTGAGGATGATCAAAACTTACGCTTCAGGTCATCAACTGACCATGTTTGAGGAACCAGAAGGATATTCTTCCTCTTTGTTTGGCATTGCATAATTAAATAAAATTGCATCATTGGCTAAGTGCATTACTGGGTAGAAGTTTAAGAGGTGTGCAGAGTTTGCAATTTTTTTGAAACAGCAAGTGCTGCCTGTTTTTGCAATTTTGTATTACATAGGCCAGTAGTCTGTCATGGTATGGGAATTGGAATTTCTGTTTTCCTGTCAGTGCCATGCACTTTCTTAGCTACATGAGATCTCTCTCTGAATGCTAGAGCTCTGTGTAGTTGAACTGTCTTTCTGATTCTGCTAAATCTTTCCTCCGCCCATTCTTTCTATAAGGGTACTGAGCTGTAGGGTGAAATTCTGACTCCACTGAAGTCAGTGGCAGTTCTGCCATTGACTTCATTGGGGCCAGGATTTTACTCATAGTGTACATAGTTGGGTATGTGCAGTAGATCCTGAACTGCTGTAAACTGGATTACTTAAGAGTAAAAAAGCTGAAAAGTTTTGGTCACCTCTCCCCAGGTTCATCTTTATTCTCTGCTAGACTTTGGGTTTCACCAGTGGGTTCAGAACACAAATTGGGCAATTTCATGGTGGTATGATTTGTGTGTAATACTGTGTATACTGCATAGGGCAGGTTAACATGTGGGTCATTACTATTCTTAATTCAAATTTGAAATGGAAACCAAAAGGCAACACTTGTGGGAAACACTAAAGAGTTTGATTCTATGAAAGAAATAGCCCTATTTGCTAACTTCAGGTTAAGATAAGTAACTTAAGTTCTCTGTTTCATGTTTGGAAGAAAAATAATGGGAGAAGAGTCACAGTAATTAATCACCTGTCCGTTACCTACAATATTTATAACCTTGCCTTAACTGAGAAACTAATCAATGTTTGTTCAATATTATAACTGATTAAGTAGCTTGCTTTGTGTGCTATATATTTTGTCTTACGGACTTAATTTCTCTTTCTTATTCACCATTGATATTTATTGTCTGATGGTTCCATTTCTTCCTTCAGGATGTGGAAAATATATTTAGTCGTATATCAGATATTCACGAACTTAGTGTGAAGCTATTGGGCCACATTGAAGACACCGTAGAAATGACTGATGAAGGCAGTCCCCACCCTTTAGTAGGCAGTTGTTTTGAAGACCTAGCAGAGGTAAGTAAGAACATTAAAGTTTATTTTTATAATATATATTTTATTTTTGTTATACACCTTGTATGTCCTAGATAACTGGAGTAGTTGGGGGAAAAAATGTTTTTTGGTAGTTCAGTATGTCTTTGTTTCAACTGTCTTGGCTGCCTACATTGACATCTACTTTCTTCAAAGAAACAGTCATCACAGGGCAGATTTTCCCAGGCTCTCAAGATTTACCCTGCTGACCTACCCTTGATTCTGAGATTGCAGACTAGTTTGTGTCACAAAAAGGCTGTGGGACCAGTTTCTTCCACTCATAATTCCAAAGTGTGTGTTGGCAGTTTTTGGAGGGGGGGTTCCCTGCTAAGGGATTTGCCCCCTGGTTGCGCAGGTCTTTGGGACATTTTTGAAGGGCTTTGACCATTCGAGGCTGTATGAGCATCCCCTCATGCCACCAAATTTTCAGGCCCAGAGACTATATAAGGAAAGTGTGGCACCCAACTATCAGAATTCCTCCTTATTGCCAGTGCATGCAGGTGGAGGGACAAGGTGCTGGCAGAAATGAAATGAACAAGAGCTTTAAGGTTTAGAAGTATCAAACTTGGCCTTTAGAGACTGAAATCAAATTGGGAGTGTCTGAGACCCTGTTTCTGCAAAGACTTGAGCATGAGTTTAACTTTACACACTGATAACTAAATGCATGAGGTTAAGCATGTGCCTAAATCTTCTCAGGATTGGGGCCTAAATTTTTATAAATTGCTTACTGATAAAATTATAGATAAAGTTTTCTCCTGTGTAATATACTTCATATTTTTACCAATAACATGAAGCTTTGATACTAACCTATTTTAAAAATTTACTTTGTATTCCTTCTTAGGAACTGGCATTTGATCCGTATGAATCATACGCTCAAGATATTTTGCGACCTGCTTTTCATGATCACTTTCTTAGTCAGTTATCAAAGCCTGGAGCAGCATTCTATTTACAGGTACAATATCTTTTTTTTTAATGTTTTTAAGAATATACCATTGTGTTACAACAACACATCTATTGTTTTAAGATTAAGACCATTTTTGTTTCCAGTCAATAGGAGAAGGTTTTAAAGAAGCTGTTCAATATGTTCTACCGAGGCTGCTGCTTGCGCCCGTTTATCACTGTCTTCACTATTTTGAACTTTTAAAGGTAAGTAAAAAATTATATTGCTCATCTAAAATGTTTTGTTTCATATTAGCATTTCTCAATTTTAGTTATATCAGAACTATCTATATTCTCAATAAGGCATCTTAGTAGACTAACAGAATTTTTTAATAATAGAAATGGAATGATTAATGTAAATTCTGTGCCATTGTAGATTTGTGTATGTAACGAATACGAGTCCATATTTTTATCTATATTGTGTAGCAACGAACATCTGGGGGTTTTTTTGTATTGAGTAATATTGTAATGATATTGTTTTGGTGTATTGAAAATGGATCCCTCAAATAGAAAAAGGAATTTTACTTCCTAGTTATTTTGTTTATATTTTAGGAATAAAGCTAAGCCTGGGTGAACAGTGTAAGACAGGGTAACGATCAGTGAAAATGTGGCTGCATTTCTTAACTGGAAAACCTGAAAAAAAAAAATCATGTATATCTGGAGTTTTCTAAAGTTGAGATTTTTTTAAAGTAATTGTAACTCTGGTTTCTGGGTGAGAACAGAACTCCAGTGAAATTCTCTTTCAACGTTAACTTTTTTTTGCTCCTTTGAGTAGCCTCTGCACATTCTCACTCATGGTATGTACTGATGATGCAGCTTGGATCCTGAGGTGTATTGTCAGTGCATCCAGACTGCACTGTTGGTGTATCCCATAAGTGGGAATGTGCAGCATTCATCTTGAAGAATTTAGGTTACAGGTGAGTCATCTTCATTAATCAGGTTTTTTCCTGGGTGTTTTGTGTGATGTGATGGACTATCAGTGGTTGAATTGTAAAGATCTTATAATTTTAAAGTACTGTAACTGAACAGTACAAAGTAAAGGGGCCAAGTCTTTTGATTTAACAAATCAGACATCTTTATTAAACAATAATCTTTAATAAATAGAATACTTTGCTTAAGTTTTCTCCCAAAATTAAATTTTACTTTAGAGGGAATTTTTAAGGGGGGGAGGGAATTGCTCTCTCAGAAAAAAATCTGACATCATGGAGAAATTCAAATGAGAATGGAAAAAATCCTCCATCTCCTGGTTGGCAACAACATTTTGTGTTCTGGAAGCTCAGTCAGTGTCAAAAGATTTGAGTTGCTTATAATTTTGGTTATACATGACAATATTCTAACTCAAATTTTTATAGGGGGGGGGGAGAAGGTCACATCAAATAGTTTCTTTATTAAAACATGAAACCGAATGAAGACCCAGCATTTTTATATACACTTAACTGTAAAGAACACTGGATTATCTGAAATATAAAAGATATTACACGAATTAGAGTCCAGGATTACAATGGTTGCAGACAAATTAGTCTCAGTAACGAAAAGTCTGATTGCCATAAATAGTGTTTCATGTTCATATCTTCTTTTAGCCACAGATGTCAACTAGTGCAAGTGATACTTTACATAATGAACAACATTTATTTTCCATAATTCTCATAGTCAGAGCATTTAAGCAAATTGCACTAGCAATGTCTTGAGGCGCTATTGCATCTTTTATGGAATACATGTACTTTGGTTTTAAACATCCATCTGCCTGTTTGACTTCTGTGTGATTTGAAGATAGCTGTTGAAAAGAATCTCTTGCAATTTCTTGTTGAATATGTAGATGAGCAAAAAAAAAAACATAACTTGTACACAGGGACAGTTTTATAGTTCAAAGCACAGGTGCATTACAGTTATCACATTTAAAAAAATCTGAAGAGAATTGAAATCTGATGGACAGTATATCAGGAATATACAAATATTATCCATTCTTCTTCGTGTGATTGCTCATGTCTTTCAACTTAGGCGTGTGTGCTCGTCACATGCACTCGTGCTGGAAATTTTCCCCTTAGCAGTATCCATAGGGGACCGACTCCAGCGCCCCCTGGAGTGGTGCGCACATGCCGCGATATATAGGTTGCTGCCGGTTCTCCCCCCCTTCCTTCTTGCCGCCAGTGATGGTGCTGGAACTGATGCTGCTTCAGTTAGAGCTGTAGCTGCTCATTCATACGAACTAGTTATTTCCTGTTTATTCTGTATATAGTTTTTTTATTAGTGTTTATAAATCCCTTATAAATCTAGCTATAGTTAGAGACTTTGTAGGTCCCGAACAGGACTTTGCCTCAGGACGGGACATGCCCCGATCCCCGGGCTTTAAGCTCTATGATCGCTGCAAGAGGCCCATGCCCGTTAGTGATCCACATAGCAGTTATCTGCGTTGCTTGGGCAAAGGATGTATTAGTGAGAAGTGCAAAATTTGCAAGTCCTTCAAGCCAAGAACTAAGAAGGAGTGTGATATTCATTTAAGAGTGCTCCTTATGAAGTCGACCAGCACCCCGGCACTGGAGCAATGCTCCGACTTGGCGCCGAGTACCATGACCTTGCTGCGTAGCACCCCACCGGGACCATCCACTAGCCAGCACCAGTCCCCATCCATGGCTCCCACCACGATGCCCAAGAAGTTGGGATGAGGCTGGTCTCCATCCTCCCGCAAGGGAAAGGATAAGACTGGGTGTGAGCAGTCTTCACACACATTGGGATCTTGGGCCCAAGCTCCGGGGGAGCGATGTAGCAGGCTCACGAGCCTGCCCTTTGAGCCTTTGCTCTCGTGCTCCCTGTCTCACCATCATGGAAGGTAGCTTTTCTAGTGGCAGTGACATCGGCAAGGCGAGCCGCCAAGCTGCAAGGGGAGGTATGGGTGTGTGGGAAAGGTACAAGAATCAATTGTGGAGAATTCTTGTTTGCTGTAAGTAGTTAATATAAAATTAAAGGAGACAGAGTTGGCTTGTATTCGTGTGAATGGTGCTATAAAAGGTGGAGCTGCATAATACTGTCCATAAACAGTTCTGTCATGTTGTCAAAGGAAACGGTTTATACGATTTATAGATGTAGGGTACCATATCTCTGTCTTGGTTAGGGTAGATGCATAATACTTTTGTACTGCTAGTTGTCTTTTTGTAAGATAACTTTTAGGAAAACTCACCTGAAAATTTCCTTTTGCTTAGAGCAATTTGCAAATCTTCCCTGCACAGAAGACCACAATATGTGAAAGAGTAGTATGTATAGTCTCTGAGATAAGTATCTTCTCTATCATGCATTCTAAAGCTTCAGTAACTTCAATTGGTTTAAGTTCTAATGTATATAATGCTGCAAGTGCCCTGATACAGGGAGTGCAATATTGGACATTCCTTGCCTGAAAAAAATCTTGCTAATCTCTATTAGTAATGTGTGTAAACTTAAGTTTTGTGACTTGATGGCAATTGCTGTGTTTTCGCAAATATCTGTAGTTGTTGGAATTTTACATGTACTTGTGTAATTGGTCGATTGTCCGGTATGCTCTCAATTCACAATAACTTCAGTTGATCTCTTCTAGTATCACTAGAAATGAAGGACAGATCCCAAAGATCCATTCCCAAAGCCTTGTTTAATATCTGAATTTCATCTTAAAATGATTCTCCAGTCTTTGCAGAGTTGTAACTTAGTTTTTAGTCAATGTGGAAACATCATCTTAATTTCAAATAATTTTTCCTGAATCTCTTTCACGGTCTTAAGTCGTGTTTAAATCCTTGTGATGCAACAAGGGCATCAAAGGTAAGAATGTTACTTTTTTCCTTTTCCAGAATGAAACTATTAAATTTATTACATGCTGCTGGAGCTCTGCTGGCATACAACTGTGGAATTGTATCAGTTACACTATTTGTATATTTATGCTGCTCCCATACAACTATCTGTTATATAGGGAAGGGAATGATTCTGGTTTTAATTTGGAAATGGCTCAGGAATCAAGTTTGACAATCGGTGCTGAAAAATTTTACAAAATTCTGTCACTCTAGATCATCATTTTAATGATTGTGACATTGTGATGAAAGTTTGTCCATAAGCTCTTGCATTCAGTATAACACTGTAATTGTTAGGTCATTAGTTTGTAAGGAGGTAGAAGCTATGATAGTATTTGTTGCCTCTTTTAAATGAATATGTCAAGGCTTCATGCCTAATTCTCATGATTTATGTACAACATATTTCTTGAAACTTGTTTTTCTTTACATCAGGTAATTTATATAGTCTATCTTGCTGCTTTCTGTATGTTTATAGGCTCTTATGCATATTATTATATTTCAAAATAAAAATACTTAGTTGACATTTTTATATACACACACGTAATATAAAAATACTGTAATACTAATTGGAGGGGAGAATGGATTTCCGCTTACTACCTATTAATAAGAGAATGGATGCAAAGAAGTAAAATAACTATACAACAGACACAGGATAGTCTGTCAGGAAATAAAGAGCGGATATATCAGGAAATAAAGTATATGCAGTGGATGTACTTCTGTATTGGCTTTGAATTTTATTAGATCAGTGTAAATTTGTTCTTGTGAACTGAAGTAATATGCCTTCAATGATTATTGCAATAGTCCAATAATTCTCTTGATTAAAATGTAATTATGTATCTCTGTAGAGTAGGGGTGGCCAACCTCCGGAGGCACATGCGGCTCTTCAGAAGTTAATATGCGGCTCCTTGTATAGGCACCGACTCCGGGGCTGGAGCTACAGGTGCCAATTTTCCAGTGGGCCATGGGGTTTTCACTGCTCAACCCCTGGCTCTGCCACAGGCCCTGCCCCCACTTCACCCCCCCCCCCCAAGCCTGCTGTGCCCTCGCTCCTCCCTCTCCCTCTCAGAGTCTCCTGCATGCCACAAAACAGCTGGAGGTGCGGGGATGAAGGGGGAGGTGCTGATCGGCATGGCTGCTGATGTATTACTATGGCTCTTTGGCAATGCACATTGGTAAATTCTGGCTCCTTCTCAGGCTCAGGTTGGCCACCCTGGTATAGAGTCTAGTATACTCGCTGGTAAGAGTACAGGGGAGTCGCATCTTACGCTGGGGTTAGGTTCTGAAGTCAGCATATAAGGTGAAAATCGCGTATAGTCAAACGCTCATTGAGTGGAATGGCAGGCGGAATCGCCCGCACTACAGGTACAGTATTAAAATTATTATTGTTCTCTTTTTTGT